TAGACAAATCTGGAATGATGCAGACTCTGTCAAATCAGTTAATGACCCACCATAAGAACCAGGCAGGTTATTTCCTTTTGTGCAATCCTGGCAAAGCGTCCTGATTCAATCATCATTTCTGCTGTCTAATTGGGTTTCGCTGAGGGCGAAATATCGCTGCGCCTATTTTCAGCCTTCATAACCATCGTCTGAGCGAACATGAACACGCAAATAACCCTGAAAGGAACTGATACTACTCACTTCAGTTCTCAGAATGTGTCAGCCCCCTGAGAGACCTCCAAAGGTCGTGCATGTGTGTATATTATGTGGGCTAGACCTCAGAGATATTTTCCATGTTAGTGCAAAGTGAGATGGGCCCCAGGCCTCACTGGTGCCATGAGGAATTTGGTGGCTGGAAGTGTGACATCACTTTCTACGTCAGAGTACAGCTGGACCGAACACTGACTCCACGTCCAGATATTTCAGCCATATGCAGGCCAGGGCTGTTTCGATTCCTTGATTAAACTTGATTGTAAACACTTCTGCAAAAAATGTGTGTTATATATATATATATATATATATATATATATTATATATATATATTATATATATATTATATATGTATATAATATATATATATATTATATTATATTTATAATAAATAAAAAAATCCCATCTCAGTAATACAGACCCTACCCTCTTACCTAGTATTCTTCAAGGGCTCTTTAGTAAAAGACAATAGTTCTATATAGAACCACGAACACTCAAAGAACCATTTGCATGATTAAATGGTTCTTCGCATGGTGATTGATGAAGAATGTGTTGTATGGTTCTATATAGTGCCAAAAAGTGTTCTATTGTATAAAGTTTGACAGTGTAACAATAGCAGAACATTTTTTAGTGCTATACAGAACCATTTTCAACATGGTTCTATATAGGATCATATACATCACACTCTCCATCAATCATAAGAACAATTTCATCATGCAAAGAACCACGTAATCATGCCAACAGTTTCTTGAGTGTTCATGGTTCTATATAGAATCAGTGTTTACTAAAGAACCCTTGAAGAACCATCTTTTTTAAGAATGTAGGGCCATCACGATTAATCGATTAAACTCAATTTTTAAAGTCACTTTTAAAATCTACCTTCTCAATAATGGGCAAGGATATGTTGTCAATTTGCATGATAAGTCTTTCTAAAGGTTTCCTAGTTTCCAGAAAAATATTCTAGAGTCTTTAAAAAGATATAAATCAATTGCTATTACAGAGTTAAGTCTTTTTTTATTGTCTGAACACTGATTATTCAATTAAATGGCAGAAATAATTGGTAGATTACTCAATTGCAAACGTAATTGGCACGGACGGATAGGGCTGGACAACACTACAATATATATCATTATTGTGATAAATTAGGTTACAGTACAATACAACATGCTTTTCTGAGCATATCCTATATATCGTCATTACATGTAGACACTGACCAACTGCATGTTTTTATGTTTCAAGAGAGCAAAATTAGTCCAATTTGACTGGATTTAGTGAAACACTGTGTGCTAAATATCGAATGAAAATCATTGTGTTCAGTTTTTGAAATTACTTTTTAAGATCTATACATTCTATTTTATCTATTCTAATTGATCAGATGTCTGTAAAAATAAATATCAGGATATTGTGTATCGCAATAATGTATTTTTGCCATATCAGCCACCTCTAGTGATGGCCTTAGAAGAAAATATTCAAGTAACAAACCTACTATTTTAAAATAAATGAACAAATAAAACGTCTTTTAGCTCCACTTACATGAAAGATTTCATGCAAAACCACTGATGTTTTCCATTATACAGATCGCTGAGAAGTTAAAGAACTGTTTTTTTTTTATTTCACACTGTATTACAGCTTGGCTGTAACCTGAATGGATGGGGGTCCCTGATTGCAATCACATACAATAAACCAGGCGTCCAATTCAAAATCACAGGGATACGACCTAAATGTCCCCAAAACTCAAAGGACATTTTCACCTACCATCATAGTCAAATAAAACTGTAATTCTATTTTTTCTATTCATATTTTATCAGATTGCTTGATCATTTGATAACAAATAGATCACCAGAAACTTCCAAGATACAAGGTTTTGTCACGAACTGCACTACATTCAGCTCCCTGTTTGCTTTCTCCAAGACAAAATGACTAGTGAGGTGAGCGGCCAAGTCTAGGGCTAACTCATGTTTCCTGAGAAAGAAGGTTATAAATGAAAGCACCCAAAGAAAAGAAACCTTGAGGTAGTGGTAGAGAAATGAAACAAAAGATGGCTGATCCAGAGCACGTGGGCCATGGTGTGACTGTATCACAGCCTTTCTGGGGTGTTTCCCCTTTTCTGCTGCATCAGATCGAAACATTCACTTTCTGTGCTGGCTCTCCCTCCTTTTTGGCTAAAAGGCCAGGCAGAAGGGGTGTTTATGCAGGCTTTTCAGCGAAATAAATCAACCCACGAATGCTGTTAACATTTGAAAACCATGTTAAACTTTGTCACTAAGTGTTAACTTCATAAAAAGGATTGTTCAGTAGAACAAGTGGTGCTGACAACAAAAAAATCCTACACACCCTGCCAAAAAATACCCTAAACCAATTCCCCAGACAGGTTAGTTACCAAGAAACAGAAACATACCGGATGTGCGAGACACTGAAAGTAGCTTAATTTAATGAGTGAAACCACAAGCCTTTCTGCCTGTTCTTGTACATCATAGTTTACTATTAAACTATCAGCAGCACAAGTGACATTCCTGGAGCGGTTTTCTTTGGAAAAGACTTTCCTTATTCCAAGAATTAGGCCAGGTGACTTTGCTTAAGGTTAAAAAATGAAGTATTACTATAATTCTTTTTCATAATGGTCCTCAAAGAGCAGATGACTGAAAAGACAGCTACCACTAAACGTGCAAACCTATAAGCACTACACTAGTGCTCAAGATCTCAGAGGACACAGCTAAGCGAATTACTGTAAAGCAGGGGTGTCCAATCGTGTAAAGAGCCGGTGTGACTATAAGTTTTCATTCCAGCGAAGCTGGAGCACACATGCTCAGCTGTTGAAGACCAAGACTAACCTGATTAAACGATTGGAATCAGGTGTGTTCCTGCTTTTCTGGAATGAAAACCTGCAGCCACACCAGTCCTATGCGGATCAGACTGAACACCCTGGCAGTAAAGGAATTATGTTAAGGATCACCAGTATTGGCAATAGAGGAGAATAAATCAGAGATCAGAGAAATAAAAAAGTACTAACTGACAGTTTCAGAAGAAAAGGAGACTAGAACTAGGTTAGCAAACTCCCTCCATTACAATTCACCTAGCATTAAAGGGGAACTCAGATATTTCTAAATTTTCACATAATTCTGTCATTGCAATGTAAAACAGAGTCATTCAGAGTGGTTTAGTGTGAAATTGTTCATTGTAGAGACTCAGCTTTCTTTACAGTGGTGGTGATAGGAACCAGGGGTCACCATGACTACAACACAAATACAGACATTTTATAGGGCTGAAAGATTAATCATTTCAAACCGAAATCGCAGTTGCAATTTCTAAAACGCATGAGCTGCCATTTTTTTTTAATTAAAGCCTGCATTATCAAAAACATTGTTTAAAATTTTAAGAGTGGAAAATGAACCTAATAACACAGCATTTGTGAAGAGCCTGCAGATAAGGCAACCAAACCTCCATACGCTGTGACATCATAACCACAACTTACTGGAAATTTGGCAGAACAAAACAAAACAGGCCTGAACCTTTTACCTTATAGATAATAGTCGCAATTTAAATTGCAACTGCAACATTAGTCAGAAAAATCGCAATTGGATATTTTCCGCATATCGTTCAGCCCTACCTTTTTATATACTATCCAAAACCATATGATGTCTGAGTTTTTATGTGGAGTGTTGATGTTAAAACAGTGGAAAACATGAAAGAAAAAAAAAAACGACTACTTTGCCTCAAAACGCCCTGCATGTATCCCTCCACCATGAACGGATTAAAACAAATGGTTTAATAAGACGTTTTGGACTAAAATTTTATTATTAAACAATGTCTTAGACATACGGCTGGGTATTCATAACCATTTGATTACGTAATAACTTTCTGTGAGGGAGCTTTTAGAGGTGGACGTCTGGTTCCTATCACCAACACTGTGAACAATTCTGACCGTATGTTTCTCTAGAACGAAGCATTTTACACCAAACCACTCTGAATGACTCAGTTCACATCTTAACTATTTAATTAGGCAGAAATTGTGGGAAATTGGTGGCGCTCCCCTTTAAGGTCAACAAAAAGGACCTCTCTCACAAAATAACAGCTGAAATACTCTTTATAGAGGAGGCTGAAAGGTCAGCTCCCAGAATGAACTACAGAGTGAATTTACAACATATGACTGTTTTTCTGTTCTCCATGACGAGATATGTCACATTTGGGGTAAATAAACCAGCACAGGTATATTATATCAACATCGCTTCACGTTAGAAACGAAACTTTGTCGGCTTCATATTCGAACTTTCCCGTTCCACCTTAAACGGTGCTGCAGTTACATTGTGGCGCCTCAGGTGTCCGAACGTAACTGCTGCACCATTTAAGGTAGAACGAAAAAATTGGAACAACAAGCTGGCGAATAGGAAACCAGTCCGGCAGAACAAGTCGACTGTGTATTCCAACAAGCAAAAAGATCTCAAAATGTGATCTAGCTTCCTTTTTAAACTGCCACAGTGGTCTCCGTCAAACGTTTACGAAGAAAAAAGAGAAAAAAAGAGAAAAGATGACGGATGAAAGGACGAATACTGTCGGTTGGCGATTTCAACGTCAACCCGTAACAGATGTTTGATTAACGTTAGCTTAGCATAACTTCAAAAAACCAAGTATGAAAACAACGTCTAAGTTGGCGCTTGCTGAACTTTATGACGAGGAAAAAATGTCCCCTAACGTGTGAACTCCGGCATATAACCTTGACTTAGACTCAAGACACAGTTTAAAGAGTTAAATACCTTTAAAAGCCGCGGTGAAGATTCCTTTATTTCTCTCCGCTGTACAATCTGCTCTCCTTCCTTGCCTCCGTTCGCCAAATGACTAACTGAATACGAGGTATCGAGGGACCGAACTGCTCACAACAGCCAATCACGAAGCAGCATGCAAATTAGTATGCTAATTTCTCTTTTTATCCCCTGTAGACGCGTGGGGGCTGTGGGCAGGCTCAATGTTAACATCATTTCCCACCAAAAATAACTTTTGTAGATGGAATTAGCCCCTGTACTTTTCTATAGAGAACAAATTGTAAAGAAAATGGTTCTATATAGAGCCATGGACACTCAAAAAACACTCTTTGCACGATTAAAGGGTTCTTGGCACTGTAAACGGGCTCTTCAGATTGATGTGCTGTAGATGGTTCTATAAAGAACCTTTTAGAAACAAGTTCTATATAGCACCAAATAGGGCTCTGCGATTGTTGGGAAGCCAAGTTGGTGCTATATAGAACCCTTACCAAAGAAGTTCTACACTCAAAGATCCCTTTGCATGATTAAAGTGTTCTTTGCATCATAAGAGTTCCTCAGAATATGCTGTCGATGGTTCTATACAGAACCCCTTTTTTGAAAAGGGTACTATATAGCACCCAAAAGCGTCCTTCTATTTTTATGATGTCAAGCTTGTAACAATAGAAGAACCCTGGCACCCAAAAGGGTTCTGATATTTTGCGATGTCAAGTTTTCTAACAATAGAAGCACCCTTTTTTGGTGCTGCATAGAACCCTTTCCCAAAAGGTTCTATATAGAATCAAATGCAACACATTTGCCATTCTTCAAGGGTTCTTTAATAATGAAAATGGTTCAATAAAGGATCATGAACACAAAAAACCCTTTGCATGATTAAAGGCTTCTTTGCATCATGGGAGAGTTCTTCAGAATGTGCTGTAGATGGTTCCATATAAAACCTTTTTGAAAAGGGCTCTATATAGCACCCAAAAGGGTTCTGCTACTGTTGCAATGTCAAGCTTGTTACAAAAGAAGAACCCTTTTGGGTGCTATATAGAACCCTTTTCAAAAAGTTTTTTTTAAAATATAGAACCATCTGCAGCACATTCTCCGTCACTCTGAAGAACACGCTGATCACGCAAAGGGTTCTTTGAGTGTTCATCGTTCTTAATAGAACCATTTTCTTTATTTAAGAGCCCTTAAGAAACCATCTTATTTAAGAGTGTAAATATAACCCTATGTAACACATTCTCCATCAATCTGAATAAACTTTTCACGATGCAAAGATCCCTTTAATCATGCAAAGGGTTCTATGAGTGTCCAGGGCTCTACATAGAACCATGTTCTTTGCCAAATAACCCTTGAAGAACCATCTTTTTCAAGTGTGTGGTCTGGTTCTGGCTTGGTGCTGGTTTAGCTGGTCACCCCAGTGTGGTCATGCTGGTTGACCAGCATACCAGCATCCAAAGCACAATATATGCTAACATATTCTGATAGGGTGTAGATAGAACCTTTAGAACAGGGTGGCCAGGTAAGAACTGTCATTGGGGTGGCACCCAAAAATAAAATAGCATTACTTCATTAAAATGACATAAATTGATGCGCTCATTTTCCTCTGTACATATATAAATCTGCCCATCATTTCCACATGAATAAAATATTACATCAGCGCAACTAAACTGAGAGACAGAACTGTGTTAATGTAACATATATTAGTAATTCTAGAGGAAATGATGTATTTAAATCAAGATTATTATATGCATCACTTTTTGTCGGTGCACAGTGCTAGCTGTGAGAAAAACATGTCATACGAACAGGCCGTAGATGTCCATTTAGGCTGCCATCTCTACAGGTTACACATGATTAGAAAGCTAGCCAGACAGCACTGAGTAGGGGAACCTATAACACATGCACATATTCACCCTTAAAAAATGAATTGGCAATTATAAATTATTCTAACTGACTAATTTTTGATAGTTAACACAATTTACCATTGAATGTCCCACTTCATAATGCAGCTCGTAGAGCAGCGCTACTGAAGGACGCAGCACACATTCACTCACCTGTTTACTGAGTGAATTAGCCAATCACAGCAAGATGATGCAGCGTCATCAGACTCTAATATCTGACTGGTAGCTACCCTGATGGCAGATTTCACCATAAAACAACTTGCTTTATTAATGATGGCTGACTGATGTTGGCTGTCTCACTGTCCATGACTGGGCCATCCTTGGCTTTGACCCTGGTGAAAACTCTTTTTTCATAAGGCCCCTGATGTCTCAATAAATATATTTACTGCTTTCTTTTGTTTACAGCTCAATGCCCAAAATTCAATTTTTGTTTGTTGCAGCATAAACTGTGAAATCAACTGCGGAAAATGACTGCAGTCACTTCTTTAAAAAAAGAAAAGGGTACCATAAAGGGTTCTTTGAGTGCCATAGAAGAAACACTTTTGGTTCTATGGAAAACCCAGTTTGAAAAAGAGATTTGTGAGTGTGAAGAAACATTCAAAGGTTTAAAGAACCTTCATGTAGTGTAAAGATTCTATTCCTATTTAATGTAAAGGTTCTTCCTACACTGTTAGAAATAAAGATTCTGTGCAGGTACATTTTTCTTTCATCAAGGTACATACAATGTTAATGTTCCCTCAAAGGTACAACGGTGGTTTTAAGGTCAAACTGTCAACCTTAAATATTTTTTCCAGGTGAAAAGTACATATTTGTACATTTTCACAACCCAATGTTTTAAAACAGAACAATGAAATAAAAAGCCTGGAGACGAGACGGGGTGCGTGGAATCAATACAACTCAGAAAATATAATTTCAATGGATTATGGTACAATTATGTTCCCTGACTAAAGTCACTACTTTACTACTGAGATGTACCCTTGAGACACCCTTAACACCGGTGACACAAAGAAATTATGTGCTGCCTGATAAACAAAATGATTAATAAATATATGAAATATAGTGAGCAAGTGTGACTCGCCTTCTAATGCCTTGAGATGCTTCCTCTCTGATGAACCTCAACGACAAAGAAGCTGTTTAATAGAGCTGAAAATACTGTGTTAAAATGTAATATAAGAGTCCTGATGACACCAATGACCAAAATCTCTGTGACAACTGAATTTGTAAATAAAATATATATTTTTAGTTGCAGTTTAACATTAATTCCTAATTCCTAAATTAAACCTCTTAAAAAATATTGTTTTATATTAAAAACGGTTTCTCAAATGTTAAAAATTGGTTCTGTGATGAGCTGTTTTACATATGCAGAGTGACTACGAAACAGGATGAAAAAAGAAAAATTGGGGAATTGTTTTTTAATCTCAGGTCAGCTGTGTAAATGTACATACCGACGTTTGGAGCTGTGCCTAATATTTTAAGTATCTTTTTAAGCCCTGTGACGTGGGTTCCCACTCCAATATGTCATTGTTTTTAAATAGTTTTTTTTTTACTGTGGGACCTCTTGAATGCTCCATATATGAGATATTTTTATGGGGAATTGAAAACATAAAGCTATGCTATATCTGACCATGTTAGGTTGGTTTGAACACGTACAGATGCCTTAATGTTAAATGAATGTCTAAGACTATTGTCCATTAAAACTAAGGCAACACATAGGAAAACATAAACAGGTTTTCCCTCTGTTTGTGTGTGTCAGTCATCATTAGTTCAGAGGTTCTTCAAAAGAGGTTCTTGTTTTGGCTGATAGGAGCATTGAAACGACTCTATAAGCCTATAGACCACAAACGTGCCGGGCTGTTCACTATTTTTGTCGATCTAGCAGAAGAAAAACACTGATAACAAAATGAAACTCCAATCGCTGTTGTCGGAAGAAAACCTCGTATTTCTGTTTTTGACATAATTTGAAAATGCCTTGTGTCCTTTACATTGTGTGTAAAGTTCATGATGAATGGACCCAAGAAATGACCCAAAATGACTAGGAAGAATGTCTGATTCCATTGACTTACCTTAAAAGTAAAGTAGGTTTTTCCTTCTCCTGTAAACGTACCAATTTGGAGATAAGAGGTTTTCTTCCGACAACAGTGACGTGTACTTCGTATTACATCATGTTTTAGGAAAATTAACCCAAGCTAAATTAAAAGCACTTCGCCAGCAAGAGCAATTTCATGTGTTATTTCAAAATGCGTGTTGTGTGTTTCAGGACGTGAAAAGAAACAAATTGACCACAAACTCTCTTTCCCTGTGAAACCCGACACACACTCTCCGATTTCCTTTGTCTGTCTAATTGGCACAGGCCTGAAGAATGAATAGAGAGGCTTCAGTATCAATACCTGTCTTGTTAGTACCTAAACAGCTCGATGACTTTGCAACTTTTGCAAGGTGTGAAATGGAGGCCTCTCAATTTCACACCATGAGATTTAATAGCATAAAACAGCTAAAAAAATGACTGCTGCGACCATAATGACCAAAAAATTAAAATTAGCTCTGCATTCTCTACCAAATTACAATTTCAAATGCTTGTTTAGAAAGCGCAAATGATACTTTCATTATCATTTGTTACATTTATCATCTTTGTTACATAATCACATCCACCAATTTGATATCTATGTGTGATTCAGTCACTGAGATGTAAACAGAGTGATTCAGAGTGGTTTGGTGTGAAATGGTTCAGATTTCTTTACAGTGGTGGTGATAGGAACCAGGGGTCGCCATGACCACAACACACATATAGACATATTGTTATATATTATACTATATTATATATATATATATTATATTATTATACTGTTTAAAACAACCAGTGAACCTACATAGTGGTAAATCTGGAAAAAAATTGTGTTTTTTGGGACTGTTTTCCCTCACATCACCATACATGTATCTCTCTGTCAGGAATGGATGTTAAAAAAACATGTTTTAGGACAATTTCTTGTCACAAAACTATCATAAAACAATGTCTAAGACATTAACTTTCACAGATAACTTTCTGTGAGGGAGCGTTTAGAGGTGGACGTCTGGTTCCTATCACCACCACTGTGAACAAACGAGATTGCATCATCTCGTAACAAAGGGAAAGGGCTGGAAATCCAACGAGGTGTTTCAGGCAGCTGAGAAAAGTGGTTTCTTTGGAAGAAAGTTTCTCCCCTCGATG